TGGCGGGTTTGAACCCAGCCCTGGCCAGCTAAAACAATAATGACAACCGCAACAACAACAACAAAAGCCGGGCATTGTTCTGGGCACCTGTAGTCCCAGATACTTGGGAGGCTGAGGCAAGAGAATCGCTTAAGCCCAAGAGTTTGAGGTTGCTGTGAGCTGTGATGCCACAACACTCTACTGAGGGTGACATAGTGAGACTCTGTCTAAAACAAACAAAAAAAAACCTTCTAGAATGTTCCTCATACCTGTCCTGCAGAAGGATGGGGACACCAGGCATAAGCTGCCCCTGAGGGCATTAGATCTCCAGTCCTGTGGGATGCTTCACACTGGAGATGGGTCCCAGGTAGGGAAGCAGTGTTGCAGGTGTTTGGGGGGGTGGGGGCCGTACCAGTGGACCAGGAGTTGTCCCCTGCAGGTTTAGATGAAGTCATATACTGAAGGCATATGGAGGGAGGCATCACCATATCACCATTCCCTCCCTCACTCGGACCACATATTCCCTGCATTGAGTTCACTGGAATTGATTCTTCAAGGCCATGATCTCTAAAAGAAAAAACTCAGAATGGGAGAGTTGGTGGAACAAGGTACAGTCTCCACTGCTACGGCTGAGCTCAAGGCCAGAGTTGACATCCATCTTTTCCTCTTTCAACCCTCCATTCTGTATTACGTCCCTCTTCAGGCCTAGATTGCTTGCCCGGACAGGTGAACTCAGAACTCAGATCCTCATTCCTAAAGAGTCCAAGCAACTGTCTACCTGGCCCTTGTCAGGCTGTGGTAACTCACATGCCCATTCACAGGTCCCAGAGAGAGTCCTCCACATAGCAGACGTCCTACTCCCTGCCCCTATTCTATAGCAGCCCTTGCTCCTCCCCAGAATCCAGGTGTCATCCCTGCCATCGCAGTAACTCCTTTCTTAGCCTGCTGGTCTCCCAGTGTCAGCAGCCCCAGGAGAGCAGGTAGCAGCAGTTTTAAATTCAGGGGTAGGAGAGTAGAGGTACCCTTCTCCCGCCTCCTCTCACTGGGCCACACACATTGTAGGGTCAAGCATCTCTCATTTTCCAGGGACTAAACTTGTAGGAAGAGAAGCAAAAACTCCCCCATTCTGGAAAGGCAAGGGTCACTGTACTTTCCCTGCTTGGTTCCTAGACAGGGGTATTCTAGCCCTCAGCAACCAATAATAGCTGACAGGTGAAAATTGAGACTCTCTTGGAGGACAGTGCTCGAACATAGATGTCTTTCTAAAGCTGGTGACTTAGTTGCACCAGCCTTGAAAAGGATAGTCCAACCTTCAGTCTTATAGTAGAAACCATGTGGATTCCATTGTCATGGATCCTTTGTCACATTTCTTTCGCCATAAAATAGGCCCTTTAGTCATGTTCCCTATAGGAAAGCAAGTGTGAAGTTGGGTTTCAGGGATGTCTAGCTTCTTATTTCGAACTATTTGCCAGGACTTGCACCAGCACCACATTGTCTTAATTAATGACCTTTACAGAGAGTTTTGATACCTGGTAGAGAAATTCCTCTTCTCTTGGTCTTTGTTGGCCACACTTCACCCATTTCATTTCCATATAAATTTTAGGATCATTCTGTCAATTCCGTAACAACTGTGTTGGACTTTTAAACACGATTGCATCACATCTATAACCCATCTAGGAGGATTCGACATTTTTACAAAAGTATCTTCTAATTCACAAACATAAGACTTTCCTCCATTGACTTGGGTTTCCTTTAAATTCTCTCAACAATATCTGGTAAATTTCAGCAGAGAGGTCATCATGCACATCTTATATTGCATGATGTCGGTATTTGATATTTTTGCTTTTAAATTAGTTTTAATTTTTTAAACTTTTGATTGCATTATAGGTGTTTGTGTGTATTGTTTTTGGAAGCTTGTTAAACTTATTTTTAACTATGTATGAATTTAACTGGATTATCCAGGTATAAAATGTTATCTGTGAATGAAGGCAGTCTGATTTCTTCCTTTTCCAATCCCCAGGATCTATTTTTCTTGCTATTCTGTACTGACAGGAATCTCTATCACGATGTTAACTGGTGATAGTAGGCATTTTTACCTGTTTCTCAATCTGAATGGAAAAAAGGCAACATTTTACCATTAAATTATGATGCTTTCGGCTCGGTGCTTGTGGCTCAAGTGGCTAAGGCGCCAACCACATACACCTAAGGTGGCAGGTTCGAATCTAGCCCGGCCCGCCAAACAACAATGACGGCTGCAACCAAAAAATAGCCGGGCATTGTGGTCGGTGGCCTGTGGTCCCAGCTACTTGGGAGGCTGAGGCAGGAGACTCGCTTGAGCCCAGGAGTTGGATGTTGCTGTGAGCTGTGATGCCACAGCACTCTACCCAGGGGGACAGCTTGAGGCTCTGTCTCAAAAAAAAAAATTTATGATGCTTTCTATAGTTCTTGCTTTTAAATACTCCCTGTAAATACTTCAGGCACATTGATTGCAGCCTTTTGAGAACTCTGAGGCAGAGTTCTCAGCCAACACATACCTGAGCTCCTGATCCACAGATATGATGAAAAAATGGTTGTTGCTTTAAGCTGCCATATTTGAGGGTAATTTGTTCCATAGCAACAAATGATACGTGTGCATAAAGGATGTGTAACCCTCCTCTCAAAGTCCAAGCTCAGCCAGCTGGGTATAGCACAGGGTAGCAGAAAGCGTGTGGGTTTTTAAATCAGATAAACTGAGAATCCCACTTCTATTGTATACTTATCCTTACTTGGTCTCAGTTTCCTCACCTGCCAAATGCAGATAATTATATCCACCTCTTAGAGGCCCTGTGGTTATGGAAGGCAAAGTGGGATTTTCAGTATGCCCGGCACCAGTAAGCGCATAAACCAAGTTCCCTTCCTTCCCTTCTCCTTAAAGCACCATCTGGCCCATCAGGCCCTGTATACCGATCAGACTTTCCAGGTAATATCAGCACATGTCATGGAGCAATGGGAATATTTGACATGGAAAATCTTGGAATTCAGGACATTGAGTTGTCAAACCATCATACTACCGCCCCTTTATTTTTTGGACATTAAACTGCCCATGCTAAACATCTAGATTCTTTACCTCTGCATTTGTTAGGCCTGTTGTACATGGCAATGAGTTAGACATCTCACATCAATAGCAGCTGAGCCAGGGTCGATTTCACTGTGAACTCACAGGACTCACGTCAGACAAAGCCTTTACAATTTTTGTGGTTGTTCCTGTTAAAAGTTAATACTTAAAGGGGCACAACTTGGCCTCTACCTAACACATGCAAACAATGTAACCTAATGGTCTGTACCCTCATATGGATCTGAAAAAAATAAGGGAATGCTTAGATGTAATGTCATCTGCCACGACCTATGTCTGTCATGGAGTCAGCTGCGAGGTGGTTGAGGCCCTTAAGATGAGAGGGCAGCCTGGGAAGGCAGGATTTGGAGTCAGAAGATGGGGCTGTAACTCTGGCTCTCTTACCTCTTTGCTATAATTTCCTTGGCATGCCATTTTCTACTTTTCCCCCACTTGTAAAATGAGAGGAAGAATACTTCCCTGGTGTCATTTGCATTGTATTGAGTATTTGGGAAAATATTTGGAAATTAGCAGGTAAATTGTCTTAAAAAAAGAAAAAAGTCTTAGATAGCCAGGCGAGGTGGCTCACGTGCGTAATCCTAGCACTCTGGGAGGCCGAGGTAGGTGCATCCCTTGAGCTCACGAGTTCAAGAGAAGCCAGAGAAAGAGTAAGACACTGTCTCTATTAAAATAAAGAAAGGCTTGGTGCCTGTAGCACAGTGGTTATGGTGCCAGCCACATACACCGAAGCCAGCAGGGTCGAACCTGGCCCAGGCCAGCTAAAACAATAATGACAACTGCAACAAAAACTAGCCAGGGGTTGTGGTGGGTGCCTGTAGTCCCAGCTACTTGGGAGGCTGAGGCAAGAGGATCACTTGGGCCTAAGAGTTTGAGGTTGCTGTGGGCTACGACACAATGGCAATCTATCCAGGGTGACAGACAGAGACACTGCCTAAAATAAATAAAGCTTGTCCATGCTAAAGAGCTGGATTCAGGGGCTGGCTGGACACCTATGTTGCTTGCTACTCAAAGTGTGGTCCAGGGATCAGAGAACTGGCATTGCCTTGGAGCTTGTTAGAAATTAAGACAAGCACCACCCCGGACCTACGGAATCAGATTCGGCATTTCCCCAAGATCCCCAGTGATTCATGAGCGTTTGAGAGGATATGAAATTCTGCCTCTCTAACACACTCCACATGAATTGTAGTAACAGAGGAGATGCTAAGAAGAGGTGGGATGATGGAGACATACGGGCAGAGACAGCTTTGCAAAGCTTTGTTGCATCCAGATACGAGTAACTTCTTGGCATGAAATTAAGCTCCGATGGGGACTTGCTCCAGCACAGACAAGCCAAACCACTAATCTGAATAAATAAGCATCAATTTTATTGAATCATGAATAATTTAAGACTGGTACAATCATTAGCTTTATTCTCTATGACATGGGGCATGATGTCCAGCAGATCATTGGCAAATCCAAAAACCTCATGACAAATGAAAATTAAATAGGGGGGGAGGGGAGGAGGAGGGGGAGGGAGGGTGGGAACATACCGTACACAAAATACTCAATTCCTAGTTTTCTCTTTAAAAATGGCTAGAAAAAATTCATCAAAATGCAGCACTTTAATCAATTATTTACAATTTCTATGTTACAATGAAAAAATGTACATCGTACAGAACATATTTCATAAACCGCTCCACTGGAAACAACTAGATCAAAACAGCAAACCTTCCGTGTAATATCCACAAAGTGGGATTCTTTTTTTCCTTTTTGAAATAGATTCGCCACGATCAAATCCGAATACACAGAATTTTGAAGTGTAAGCATCCAACACTAAAATAAAAAAAAGTCCCCAAGGTACAACAAAGGTCAGGCAAGTCTGGGTTCTTTGTCCCA